TCATTTTTGAGATCGCTGAGATGGTGTTCGGCGTGCACGAGATGAATCCGTGCACGAGGTGCACGGACACGTTAGAGCTCGCTCTCCCGAGCTCCACTAACTCCACTCCGCCATCAATCTCCCCAACATGTCTGCCAACCTCGACACTCCAGAACCGCCGCCAATACCTCGCGCAACCCCCTCGCCACGTACAAAGCCCTTAGACCACCCAGACTATCCTCCCGGCGATGATCCCAACGAGCAACAAGAGTTTGACGACACGCCGGAGGAGGACGACATACCATACCCCGAGCCTAATGCTGAGCAACCCCTGCTGCCACCGCCAAACTTCCGACCCTTCTTCGCCCTGATTGAAGACACCACATCGGGCGAGCACTACCACCCTTATGTCCACTATGTCTTCGCAGACGACGATCCTACCATTGTCACTGCAGCCTCGATGCGAGGCTTAGGGCTAGACGATACAAGATACCTTCCACATGATGCACCGCCTGCCGGAGATCGGCGTCGGGGTCGGGAAGGTGATGAAGAAGAGGTCGAAGGAGAGGAATATGAACAAGACCCACCAGTCGAGTCGCCATTTCCGCCACCCATACCAGGTGTTAAGGAACACTACCTTATTGTCGATGTAGGCGAAGATGGACGCACAATCATGGATGCACAGTCGCTATCACCAGAGTGGCAGATAATAGACACGGGCGTGCGAACAGCTCCCTCTTTCGACGAGGACTCTCCAGATCCAGGCTACATGCTACGCATAGAAGGTGTTGAGATACCGCGGAAGAACAAAGGAAAGGCCGAAGCTGGAATAGACAAGCTGACTGAAGCACGAGAACAACAAGGCGACATTTTTGGGGCGTTGGAGGGGCTGGTTCAAGGTATCGAGAGAGGCCTGGGTATTGCGCACAAGATATTCAGTGCGGGGCGAAGAGAAGGCGAAGAGGGCATACCAACAGATGCGTGTGAGGATGATGCAGAAAAGCTGGTGGGTGATGAGCAATGATGCTCTCCTACTAGAGTCGCATAAATCGTCCTTATATCAGAGCGCCGATCAAGAATGCGCATTCATGACCCTAAGGCCGAACAGAAGGAGAGTGATGCCTAAATGCATCACAAGCGCCGTATATGACATTTGCTGCTATATTACACATAACGACAGCAATGAAGACCAATCGACTCTAATGCACACTGCAAGAGTCAAAGTACACGATGCAACTCGACAGCTGCATCTTGCTGCTGTGAATGCTACAGCTAGTTAACGATATCCACAAGAACTACTCTCTACCCTCTTGACCTTGCCCTCCATTCTTTGTCTTCCTCACCACCCAATCTCCTCCCCAAACCGATCCACCAACCTCCCGCTCTCCCACTCCTCCTCCCCCATCCTCTCCAAAACCTTCAAGCAATCCCCCACGCTCTCCTCCACGCTCACCGCCCCTTCCTCCTTCCACGCCACCAGCCCCGTCTCCACCCTCCCCGGATGCAGCAGCAAAAACTGCACCCGCGGCGCATCAATCACAAAACTCCTCACCACCGCATTCAACGCTGCTTTACTGGCTCGATACGCGTAGGCTCCCCCCGCGGAATTGGCCGAGATGGAGGACATGCGGGAGGAGAGTATAACGACTTTGGGGCGTGTGGGAGTCGTATTTTCCCGTGACGATGACGAAGAGGAGAGGAGAGATGGCAAAAAAGATCTGATAAGGTTAAACGTTCCCCAGGTGTTTACCTCGTAGGTCCGCATCATTGTCTCTTTATCCATGACTTCCAGTATCTCGGTACTTGCGACGTTGCGGTTTCCATCTTTCTCGCGGGATACTATTAAGGGGACTAGGCCGCGGATGCCCGCGCAGTGGAGGATTAAGCCGATGGGGGTGTGGGTGTAGGTTGATGCGAGGGTTTGAACTGCATCGGCGCTGGTGATGTCGAGGCGGTGGAAGGAAAGGGTTGGTGGGTACGGTGCAGTGATCTTTTCGGGTAAGGGGTGGCTGTCTAGGGCTATGATTTTGGGGGTTGGGGTAAGAAAGGAGAGGTAGTGCGTTAGGAAGGCGAGGCCGAGGCCGGAGGAGGCGCCTGTTATCAGGATTGTTTCTATGGTAGACATGGCGGTATGGATCTTGAGTTTTTATTTTGGTAGTGGGATGGAATTGATCTTTCTTTGCTCCATGTCTAGCGTATTACGATCTCATTGTGAAGATTATGACTAGGGAAACTATACTGTAAGAAGCCATGGTGTATCTGTTAGAGTTATGGTGTAATGACGCAACTATTCATTCAGCATAGCAAACAAGTCTTTCCCGCCTAGATGTGCCGATTGCGGGATCCCGATATGTACGTAGGGAACCCCGCAGTAGCATCCGTAGCGGAGAATACTGCCCCACCAAAACAACAAGCTTTGGGCAGAGTGGTATGGGGTTTATATACGGGCCATGTGTCCTGACATGGGGGATGCAATGGTACACCTTGTACCTTTCTGAGATATATTTGTTGATAGGATCTTGTGTAAGAGGGAAAATATATTTGTTTCAGGAGAAGGTAGCACTGGGAAACAAACATGTTTTACCGACCAGGCAAGGAAGACCATGGGCTACCATATGATCCATTCAAGGTAAGTAGTATTTAAATTTTCCAATCGTATACAATGCTATATTCAGTGGACACATGGTGTTTAGCAAATATCCACTTCGCCATTCCCAGCACGATGAGAAACCATCATGCCATTTCGACCCAACATCTCTCAACACTCAATTCCCCAATACACGCCATTCTAAATCCCAAATGCAACTAATTCACGCATAATCCAGGCCTGCGTCGTCCCCCGCCCCATCGGCTGGATCTCGACCCTCTCCCCGACCGGCACCGCAAACCTCGCCCCTTACTCTCAATTCAACAACCTCACCTTCGACCCGCCCTACGTAATGTTTAGCGCAAACCAAACCCCCAGCTCCACGCAAAAAGACACAGTCCGCAACGTTGAGGCTACGGGAAAATTCATCTGGAACCTAGCTACGTACGAGCTGCGCGAGCAAGTCAACATTAGCGCGGTCCAAGAAGCCTATGGCGTTGATGAATTCGAGAAAGCAGGGCTGGAAAAGGAAGGCAGCAAGCTCAGCTCTGTGCGCATCGCCCCTCGAGATGGAGCGGAGGAGGCTGCAAAGCATGAACAGGTGTTTATTCCAATGGTAAAGCAGAGTCCCATCAAATTCGAGTGCGAGTATCACAGCACGTTGCGTCTCCCGGGGAATCCGCCAATGGGTTCTGTAGATGTGGTTATCGGGAAGGTGGTTGGCGTGCATATTGATGAGGGCGTGTTGACTGATGGCAAGATTGATGTTGGGAAGACGCAGCCGATTGCGCGGTGTGGGTATTATGAGTATGCGGTTGTGAGGGAGGTGTTTGAGATGAGGATTCCTGGGGAGGACAAGGCGATTATGGCGGGGTTGGAGGGGAGTGCGAGGGAGAATAGGAAGTTGGATGACGGGAGTGGGGGAGTTTGATTGAGGTGGGATTTTAGGGGAGGTATCGAATTAGAGCTGTTGTTACCGTCTTTTTGCACAAGTGATACGAGTAAGTTATCAAGGTGGTAATATTGGTGTATTCTTAGTGATATGCACACATGATTCATGGTATTGATTATATCAAAGTCCCGTGCAGCACCTCCTTCTACGTCTAGTAAACATAACGGAAGTTGGGATTCTCTCTATCCGTCAAGTCCTCGAAGCCATGAGCATTGTTAATTTCAGTGCCAAACTCGCGGTCCTTCTTCTTGTTACGGAGCGTGAGATTGAACCGCAAAAAGATAATGACACAGACGAGTGCAGAGTAGCAGCCGAGATGGATAGCTAGCGTCTTGAGATAGCGAGGATCGTTGTCGAAGAAGACCTTGGGGCCAATAGCGTTGCCGGCGCACCAGGCAAAGAAGTTCATAGTGATGCAGACGGACTTCTTGGTCTGCCCTCCGACGTTACGCGTCAGCATGGACATACCGAGACCTTGGGCTGCCCAAAAGGTAAAAACAATCCAGTAGCTGATGAGCAGACCGGCTCGGGTTGCGCTGTTTGTGTTCTTAACAGTCATGATGACAATAGTACCTGTGAAAGCTGGTATCAAATATATGGCCATGGTCACAAGGTTCTGCTTTGTCTTCTTGACGATGTAGACCGAGCTCATGAGCGTGAAAATAATAATGGCGCCGAGAACCATGGCCAGAAGTTGAGTCTCAAGAATACTGAATCCGAGTCCTTGGACGATGATGTTATAGAAAGCACCAAGTCCAGAAGTAGGAAGTGTGGTGAATATCTGGATACCCATGTAGCAGTATGTCTGGGGGTCGAGAAGTGCTTCTTTGAATTGGTATGCACGGAATTTTTTATTTTGAAGACCAGTCTGGTTGGAGCGTACGCGTTCGACCATCAGCTTCTTGTCTTCTTCCGACCAGCACTTTGCACGCATAGGGCTGTCGGGAAGTCTCCAAACGACAAACAACCCCCACAAAAAAGAGATGCAGCCGTAGGTGATGAAGATAGCCTGCCATGACCGAATTGATGCAGTCCCAGGGTGACTCTTGAAGCTTGGATGTCTGATTTGTGAAAAGCAGTAGGCCAAGAGACCACCAACGATCTGTTGCATACCGTCTGAGGCACGTGATTAGCAAACAGTCACACAATTTCGATGCATCCTGACTTACTCATCATGTACCAATAAGTCACAATCGAAGCTTGCTCCTCTCGCTTGTACCAAAGTGAAGTCATTATGAGAAAAGCAGGCTGGCAGACTGCCTCAAAAATACCAAGCAGTGTTCGGACAGCGACGAGAGCTGGAAAGCTAAAGCAGAGGGCATGGCATGCAAGTACAACGCTCCATGCAAGAATGTTGAGGCCGAGGTATTTGGCAACTGGCACTCTTTGCAGAATCCAATTGGTGGGGTATTCGACAACGAGTACAGCGAGGTAGATACAAGTGGTGAGCCATCCAAACTATCATATGTCAGCTTTGCGTCTTGCAGGCTTCCGTGTGCTTTGGAACTTACTGTCTGCTTTGAATGAAGGACTGGAATATCGTCGCGGATACCCATGATGGAAGTCATAGACATTGTGCCTTTATCGAGAGACTAGTTGAATTAGAAAGAGATGAGATGATTCACTGATGATGTTTACCTGTAAAAAGTAGGTAAAAACCATGATAGGAAGTACACGCCTGTCGATCAACTTTTTCAATCGCTTGTTCTCCTCTTCCGAGATGTATATTTCAGTCTCGCTGGCATACTGCGCGACTTCCCGGTCGATACGTTCGTAGTTGACATGTTCGCCCTTCGCGTCGCCAACTGACAGCACACGCTCAACCTCGTTGACATTCTTATCGTCGAGGTGACCAGCAGTGGCAGGCAAGCCCTGCACCTTGTCGGTGCTGTCTCTGGCAGCGGCCATACTGAAAGCCTTTTGGGGATTGGCAATTGAAGAAAATGGGGATGAAAGCTCAAGGGCCCCAGCACTTGCTGTGAGGTGCTGATTTGGAGGGCCACTCGAGATGATATTTCTACCCGGATCATATGTATGGTGCGTCCGAGCGTACCCCAGTCTACCCCGTACCCCGGCGGGCTCCTCCACAAATCACATACGATGAGGGCATGTACATCACGGCAGGCCTGTATTGACGGTTGAACACAGTCACCTCATCGGTTGCCCCGCCCCAGCATAGCAAAGGATCTTCACAAGCGTGGTGCTGCTAGCCCGGCCAAATGGGCGCCATTGCTGCAACCTCAGTTGTTCTTTGTAAGGTCAGCAACCCCACGGACATGGTATCCACACAATTTGCGTAGTGGCCTACAATGCGGAGAGACGAGCACGTAGGATTAAGCACTGTGAAGAAAGCCACCACTTGGCATGTCTCCAAGAAGAAGATTGTCTCGGCATACATGATGCCGAAGGTGCGAGTAGCAGGCCACCAGCTGCCTGATGGCTGGTGGAAATATTCCTTCGTTCCTTCGCGCTGGAGTTGGTGGCGGCTGGCTTCCCCAGCTTGGATGCGAGCCGGTCAGCAAGGGCTATTTAAACGGCGGCCGTGTTTCCCTTGACGGTTCATTGCTGATCTTGGCCACCTGCGCGATAGCCTCCCGCAGAGTCGGCAAAATGATCGACAAGGGTCGGCGCAATATATGGCGAATACGGAAGGCGGCTTCATGTGGCCTTCCAGCAAACAATGACGAGTCTTTTGGTGTTGATTCAGATGCGTGGATGAGCCGCGGCTTTCCAGGGACCAAGAAGCGGGTGCAAAATCCACGTGTGCCAAGCTTGTGCCGGTGCAGAAATCAACAAGTTCGGTGCAGATAGGCACGAGAATCTGGCAATGATTTCCACCAAGCCCTCGAAGTATGCAGTCGGAAACTCTGAGTTTCCCCGGTCTGTACACTACCCCCCACCCCCACTCTGTAGGGCTTGGTTGGCGTGTATTGCTCACGGAAGCGATCCAATACTGTACTCGCCCGCTGGACTACGCGTGTTGATAACTTGTCGCGCCTCCGCCTCTTGTCTTCTTCTTGTGCACTGCGTGAGAGTAATTGGGACTCTACTGCTCAATATTTAGTTTCCACTACCCAGGAGCACCCATTCCAAATCCACTCAACATCTCGGAACCTACATCCGCCATGTCGACACTCACAGTGCATGGTCTGACAAAAGGCCAGATAGATGAGAAGATCCTGCTCTTAACCCACAACCTAATCAACATTCACGACACAACCGGCGAGTTCCTACTCAAACTCGACGATGGACGCATAATTGATACCAAGGGCTGGGACGGCTGGGAATGGACTCACGGAATTGGACTGTACGGGCTATGGCACTACTACACGCTGACGGGCAGCACGACGACGCTCGACATCATAAAAGGCTGGTTTGATAAGCAACTCGCCAAGGGCACAACCAAGAACATCAATACAATGAGCCCATTCCTCTCATTGGCATACCTGTACGAAGAGACGGGCAACAAGACATTTGTTCCATGGCTGGACACCTGGGCTGAGTGGGTCATGCACGGGCTGCCCCGCACCAAGTTTGGCGGGTTCCAGCACGAGACATACAACTCCTTCAATAAGGATGAGCTCTGGGATGATACGCTGATGATGAGCGCGCTACCGTTGGCAAAGATTGGTCTCACCCTGAACCGCCCAGAGTACGTAGAAGAGGCGAAGCGCCAATTCATCCTGCACTGCCAGTACCTATGCGACACAAGCACTGGCTTGTTCTACCACGGCTGGAAGTGGGAAGACAAGGGTGGATTGGAAGTCGGACACAACTTTGGCAAGGCACGATGGGCGCGTGGAAACTCGTGGCTCACAATCGCTATCCCGGATTTCATCGAACTTTTAGATCTCAAGGAGAGTGATCCGTTACGGCAGTTCCTCGTGGGAATTCTTGAGTCGCAATGCCGGGCACTAGTCAAGTGTCAAGGAGAGAGTGGCATGTGGCGCACCCTGCTCGACATTCCCATTTCCGAGGGCAGTTATGAAGAGTCATCAGCCACGGCGGGCTTCGCATACGGTATGCTCAAGGCGTGCCGGAAGCGATACATTAGTGGAGACGTGTTCCTGGAGAGTGCAGTAAAGGCGGTAAAGGCAGTCATTGGTAAGATCAATGCGGAGGGTGAGCTGACGGAGACGAGCTTTGGCACCGCCATGGGACATGATTTACAGCATTACAAGGACATCAAGATTACCAGTATGCCGTATGGACAAGCCATGGCCATTATGGCGCTTGGAGAGTTCATGAGGACCTTTATCTAACGAATCCATCATGCTAAGACCCAATTCACGATATGTGTCTGCAATGTACCAATATCCGTGAGGGCCGCCGATTCAGTGTTTGGATCTAGTAGTCCAAGTCGTTGTGCAAGTGGTGTGCGTCTCGGCGGGGTTGTGTGCGTGAAGGCTGGGGTGTCGGAGGATGGTAGCGGAGTTGCTATTCTGTTTCAGGCATGCGATGAAGCTACTATAATTACTTGTAACCTTGTTGCCCACGGACAGAATGTGTGTAGCCTTGCGTGGAGGTGGAGAAAGCGATGGTGGTGGAATTCGGTGGACGCGTCTCGACAGGGCGGGGAAGTCGTGTTTGGCGGTGAGGCTCGATTGCAGGCGCAGACGCGCGCTGATTGGCCAGGCGACAACCTTCTCTGCCTTTCTGCCATGCTGTCTAGAAGATTCTCGAGCTCCACCAAAGGCTATATGAGCCCCAAACATGAGCCTCCTCTGCGTTTTTCTTCATTGAATTGCTCTCTTTCTCTCTCACCACATAGACACTGCAGTCTTGCAATTTGCTCTTTTTCACGCCCAATAGAAGAGCCTAATACTCCAATTACCCCGCTCATACCGTTCGTCTTCCCCGCATCAGCCGCACATCTAATCTACTCTTTCCGCCACTTGTTGCAAAAAAACATCGTCTGACTCTATTGTTTGCAGCTCCGAACACTTCACACACCCGTCACCATGTCTGGGGAGACTTTCGAGTTCCAGGCTGAGATCTCTCAGCTGCTCGGTCTCATCATCAACACCGTCTACTCGAACAAGGAGATCTTCCTGCGAGAACTCATCTCTAACGCCTCCGATGCCCTCGACAAGATCCGATATGAAGCCCTCTCAGACCCAAGCAAGCTTGACAGCGGCAAGGACCTTCGCATCGACATCATCCCCAACAAGGAGGCTAAGACTCTCACTATCCAAGACAGCGGTATTGGTATGACCAAGGCCGACCTCATCAACAACCTGGGTACGATTGCCCGCTCAGGCACAAAGCAGTTCATGGAGGCCCTGTCAGCCGGTGCCGACATTTCCATGATTGGTCAATTCGGTGTTGGTTTCTACTCCGCATACCTCGTTGCTGACCGCGTCACCGTCGTATCAAAGAACAACGATGATGAGCAGTACATCTGGGAGTCAAGTGCTGGTGGTACCTTCAAGATCACTGAGGACACCGAGGGCGAGCAGATTGGCCGTGGTACCAAGATCATCCTCCACCTCAAGGATGAGCAGATGGACTACCTCAACGAGAGCAAGATCAAGGAGGTTGTCAAGAAGCACTCCGAGTTCATCTCATACCCCATCTACCTTCACGTCCTGAAGGAGACTGAGAAGGAGGTTGAGGATGACGAGGCCACCGAGGAGAAGGTCGAGGAGGGTGACGAGAAGAAGCCCAAGGTTGAGGAGGTCGACGAGGAGGAAGAGAAGAAGGAGAAGAAGACCAAGAAGGTCAAGGAGTCCAAGATCGAGGAGGAGGAGCTCAACAAGACCAAGCCCATCTGGACCCGCAACCCACAAGACATCACCACTGAGGAGTATGCCTCATTCTACAAGTCGCTATCCAACGACTGGGAAGATCACCTTGCTGTCAAGCACTTCTCCGTTGAGGGTCAGCTCGAGTTCCGTGCCATCCTCTTCGTTCCCAAGCGCGCACCTTTCGACTTGTTCGAGACCAAGAAGACCAAGAACAACATCAAGCTCTATGTCCGTCGTGTCTTCATCACTGACGATGCTACTGACCTGATCCCTGAGTGGCTCAGCTTCGTCAAGGGTGTCGTCGACTCTGAGGACCTGCCCCTCAACCTGTCTCGTGAGACCCTCCAGCAGAACAAGATCATGAAGGTCATCCGCAAGAACATTGTCAAGAAGACCCTCGAGCTCTTCAACGAGATTGCCGAGGACCGCGAGCAGTTCGACAAGTTCTACTCTGCCTTTGGCAAGAACATCAAGCTTGGTATCCACGAGGACTCGCAGAACCGTGCCGCCCTCGCCAAGCTCCTTCGCTTCAACTCCACCAAGTCTGGTGAGGAGCAGACCTCTCTCACTGACTACGTCACCCGCATGCCCGAGCACCAGAAGCAGATGTACTACATCACTGGTGAGTCGCTCAAGGCTGTCCAGAAGTCACCCTTCCTCGACACTCTCAAGGAGAAGGGCTTCGAGGTTCTCTTCCTCGTTGACCCCATTGACGAGTACGCCATGACTCAGCTCAAGGAGTTTGACGGCAAGAAGCTTGTCGACATCACCAAGGACTTTGAGCTTGAGGAGTCCGAGGAGGAGAAGAAGGCCCGCGAGGCTGAGGAGAAGGAGTACGAGGGTCTGGCCAAGAGCCTCAAGAACGTTCTCGGCGACAGGGTCGAGAAGGTTGTTGTCTCTCACAAGCTTGTCGGCTCACCATGTGCCATCCGTACCGGACAGTTCGGTTGGTCAGCCAACATGGAGCGTATCATGAAGGCCCAGGCTCTCCGTGACACCTCCATGAGCTCTTACATGTCTTCCAAGAAGACCTTTGAGATCTCACCCAAGTCTGCCATCATCAAGGAGCTCAAGCGCAAGGTTGAGGCTGATGGTGAGGACGACCGCACTGTCAAGTCCATTACCCTCCTTCTCTTCGAGACCTCTCTCCTTGTCTCTGGCTTCACCATTGACGAGCCCGTTCAGTACGCTGAGCGCATTCACAAGCTCGTCTCTCTTGGTCTGAACGTCGACGAGGAGGTTGAGACCGAGCAGGAGAAGGGTGAGGCCTCAACCGAGGCGCCTGCCGCCGCTGGCGAGAGCGCCATGGAGGAGGTCGACTAAGCGTGTCGCCTGTGTCGCCTGGTTTCAAAAAGTTTGGTCGGCGCTTTGATATCCCTTTCATGTGTCATGGCTTTCCTTTTCTTTCTACATCTTTTGCATGATGACGGAGCTTAATCTTCGATGGAGTCTTAGAGTGGTGGACTTTTATGCATCACGAGTAAATGGATATCCCGAACTGTATCTTCGGTAGATTTGCCCATAGGTAGTTACTTTTGACGAATGATGAAATGTTCAAAAAGCAAAAGGTTGTTGTGTGCGAAGACGTGAGTGATGTGACGCAAGTGGCCTTTAGGTTAGGTGTGGGTTGAGGCGACTACTGTAAGACTACTGAAGGACTACTGGAGGTTGTAGTACTACTATTCTGCTTGGCGAAGCCGGCGTTCTTTGGCTTTACATGTGGTGTGTGATATGGTTGTACTGTGGTGTTGCAATCTAATCGGAGACGGCAAGGGCAAGGGTCTAAACGGGCTGGGCTCCGCCACGATGATCGTCCCGTGTCCGCGAAAACAGGATCTCTCCGCAGCCTGGGCCACATTGGCATCTCTGTAACGACAGGGATAAGGAGAAGACATGACGTAGGAGGTGGCACAACGGCAGTGTGTAGAAACATAATTTAGATCCAGCTCTAAAGCGAGCAGGTTTACAGCAGAATCCGTAGCATCTTGAATGCATTAATCTTTTTTGAATCATCCAAAAGTCCATCAAACACATCATGCCCGCCTTGGATCAAATCAAGCAGCAGAATGCAGCGCTCCAATGTAAGCTGATGACCGCTATGCAAGTATGCTCAGATACTGAGATGTGAGTTACAGCGAGCGCGGAGAACATCTCCAAAGGTGCTAGACCGACTGCGAAGAAGTCAACGACAGTGACACCAGTGAAGCCAGCAGCCAAATCCGTCTCCGCTAAGAAGGCATCAGCGGTGACTACAGACACAACGAGCCCAGCTGCTACGCCAGTGAAGAGGGTTCCCAGAAAGCTCAATGCAGCTGGCACGCCTACGTCGAATGTGGCAAAGACAACGACTACACCTGCGGTGAAAAAGACGCCAGTAACAGCAGCCAAAACGAATATCAGCGAGCGGTCAAAGCCCGCTCCCGCACGCACACCTCTTGGTACTATCAAGCCCCTGCCCATCAGGAAGAAGTCAGCCGCAGAAACGCCCGTATCCAAGCCCACAAGCACCGTCAAAAAGACAGTAACAAGCACGCCTGTCAAAAGCACTTCTACCCCCGCAAAAGCCACGCCCGTCAAGACGGCTGCTGCTACCACCACCACCACCACCACCACGACAGGAACCAACACCTCGACAGTCAAAAAGACACCGGTCAAGGTGAACCCGGACGGTACCTACCCAACCCCCTTCTCCATACTCCAAGCTTATCCACCCCCAGGCCACCAACCACGCGCTCAGCGCGCGCCCGGCGCCGTGGGCAAAACCATCAACACAGCCACGGGCACGCTGAACAAGACCGTCGGCACAACAACCGGCACGCTAAACACCATTACCGATTCCGCGACTGCAGGCGTCAACAGGACCGTCGATGGCGTCACGGGGGTTGCGGGTAAAGGGCTGGATAGGCTGCCTGCGGGTGTGGGCAAGCCGGTAAAGCATGTGACGGATGGGGTTGGCAAGACGACGACGGGCGCGGTGGATAATGTGTATTATACTGTTGGCAGTGCGACGAAGGGGGTTCAAGGGACGGTGAGTAAGACGACGGGGGCGTTGGGGAGGGGGGATATGAAGGGGACTGTTGCGGGGGCTACAAGTGGCGTTGGTATGTTTCCTCTTTCTTTCCGTCTTTCTTTCTTTCTTCTTTTTTTACCCTTTGACTTTCCCCCTCCTTCGTTCACATGTCTTTCTTTTCATGTTTCCATGTTCTTTTTTGTTCGACAGCGTGGAATGTGTGGCTGATATAGGATTTCTTCTTTTTACTAGGCAATACCGTTACGGGCGTGGGCAAGGGACTCGGAAATACCGTTGGTGATGGACTGGCTGGGCTGGGAGGCACAGTTGGAGGACCTGTCGGCGGCGTGGTGGGGAATGTAGGGAAAGGCGCTAATAATGCTGTTAACGGCATCACGGGAGGTCTGGGTGATGGCGTAAGCAAGCTTGGAAAGGGGGATGTGGTTGGCGGTGTTGGGAGCACGCTTGGGGGTGTAGGTAGGGGTGTTGGCGGGCTACTGGGAGGTATCACGGGGTACGGGGAGGGGCGGGAGGAACAGTGAAGGCGCAAGGTGGAGGCATGGTTGTCTGGTGTTTGCAGCACGACTACGATGACGGAAGCAGCCGAGGAAGAGGGGGATGTGCAGTGGGCGGCTGGAAATCAAGACTCCCGGCTCCGAGATTGCCTCCATGAGCGAGCCGGCGCCGAAGGGGCAGGGGCACAAGACGCAAGGCAGATTGGAGATTGAGAATTAAGGGCTACGGGATTGACACCTTTTTTTTTTTATTACGGGTTCGCGTTTGTCGTTTGGGCCATGTATTGCTTTATGCGGGAGGGTTTTTTGGGTTCAGTTAGTTCGATTAGTGCCATTAGTTCAGTGGCTTTGAGTAGAAGCGGCGGGTTGGTTTCTATGGACCGTTGAAACATTGCAGGGTCACCAGCTGAAGTTCTGCATGATAACGGCACGGGAGATGTCCCCTCGCTATTGTCGGTGGACAAGGACAGGGACGGCTGCTCAACGTCGTGTTGTGTTTCCTCGAAAAGCGCCTAGGTGCTCGGTGCGTTGATGATCACAGTCTCGGCGATGACAGGACGTTTTGGCCAAGTTGTAATGTGATGGCGTTGGCGACTCAGATCTCGTAATGTCCCGCAAGCATGACGCGTTCAATGAACGCATCTACGATGACTGTTATGTTGATCAGACTGGATTTACGTACGACGATACACTGGCGCTCATGTGCACAGTGGGGTGGTTCATGAAGGGCTCGTATGTGGATGTACGCCGCGGAGACCTTCATAGGCTGCGCTGCGACGGCCATGTTCAGGCCCCCTCTCTCGCCCAGGCTTGATGTGCCTTGACGTGCGCCGCCGAAGCTTGTTTGGACGGGTCCAATGACACGTTGAGGCTTGTTCCGGGGTTGGCCTATACGCTCTCTGCGGGCATGTCCCTGCGGCTGCGTGGCTTTACGAGTCGTCCCTTTTGTTCCTCAGACATCCACGACACCAGCCACGGAAATGACGGCATCCTTGACCCCGTCTATACGCTGCATCTCCACGGGAACGCTGCTGCTTCGAGGACATTCGTCGATGGGCCACCCGTCATCACTATATGTTTTTGCGCCAGTACCGTAGCCATCCTAGCCGTGGATCCCGGCATGGTCAGCACAAACGCGCGACAGGGGGGTCGCTGTACGAAACAACTCACTACAGCGCCATTTGCACAGTGGCTGGAGCGGACGCGGCCCTCCGTACAAGGCCCCGAAAGCCGGGTGAGGCTGTGCCACAAAGGGCCGCCTTGTAGTAAATTCACGCACCTAACCAAACTACACCGGCGCCCTAGCCATACCCTCATTGGCCCCGTCCACTCTCATCTCACCATGCTGCCTGATAAAGCATCGTGACCCCCATCTGCTTGCCTGTGGCTTGATTTACGGACTAACTCCGCTCACTCAGGCACCTAATCGAGACATTTCCTTTTTGTCATTAAACACCCAGTGCGTCAGTCCAACAGAAAGAGATATATACACCGGAACAGTAGCCACTAACCAGCCTCTTAGACACTCTCGACCCCGTCCCTATCACCAGTGTACTACGCAAAAAAAACCCCTCCCAGCCAGCCTATAATACTCCAGTCGTGGCATTCCTGTCCAACAACACCCACTTGCAACTCAACCCTATCCACTCCTTCACCTTCCCCCTGGGAAACCCAGAAATAAAATAAAAACAAAAACAACAACACCGCCTGTTCCAACCTACTCTCACCGACCATGTTCCGCACAATCACAACCCTCACCCTCCTCCTCACCTCCTCTCTCGCCGCCCCAACAACAAACACGCCGACACACCACCCTTCCGACCTCGAGTGCCGCTGCCTCACCTTCTCCACTAGCGCCGCCCCTACTCACTGCCCTTACCAAGAACTCCTCGCCCTGGACTGGGACGCCGCCCTCTCCCTCGCCACGGCAAACGACCTCAAACTCCAGTTCGCCAGCGACGCCACCATCGCAAAGGTCCTCGCCATCCCGACACCCGTCGACCCCAGCATCCTGGATGCCATCCAGCAGGGCAAGACGCTCCCGCTCGACCCGGCCGAGCAGGTGCGCAGTGAGAACCGCATCATTTGCGGGTTTGAGGATGATGTCGAGAGGGTGGAGCGGTGCGAGGACGACGGCGTGGGCATGATGGGCGCGCCAGAGGTGCATTATGTGGGCACCGTGGTAGGATTGTTCATGCTGTTTTTCGTCGCCTATCTTGTTGCCGAGTATCTTTGGACTGTGTAAGTTTTATCCCTCTTCCCCCCCTTTTTTTGGTTGTCCGTTACAATCTTACTGCGTGAAAGGAGAAAAAAACTAACATGGTTGTGTAACAGGTGCTTCGCGAGGACACGAGGAATCCGACTCGAGGGAGAAGAAAAGGCCTTGACGGTCGAGTGTGATGGGTTGATGCCTGATCAGAGGTGAACAAGGGGAAAGAGAAAAAAAATATGTATTTTGGATGGGAGAGATGGAAAGAAGTCTCTTTTTTTTCTTGTTTTTTTCTTTGCTCTGGAGAAAGAGTAGGAATGGGTTACGACGATATATGACTTCAACACCACACACACACACACACACACACACACACACACAACGCCACCAGCAATTTGGTCTCCTGTTTGATTTTTGGAACACGGCGACCCAATACAGCATCACACTGCCCGCCCGCCCGCCTGCCTGCCTGCCTGCCACACAGCTCTTTAGCATCACGTGGGATTACTATCGACTCGTCTTCCCTTACACCTGCGGGGGTATTTGGGTATTCAGTCGTCCTGCATATGAGCACCGAAATTTTCTTTACTAGACGGGGGGGGGGGGAGGGGACAAACCATTTCTATGTACCGGCGGGGAAACGGGAATACATCATTTGGGATTAGGGGTTGGGGGGGATATCACAAGGCATACTAGCCTAACAGGGGTTGCGTATGAGATTTCACCATGTACGATAAAGCGGATCACTACAAATATACCAAGTTCTTTTGTACACTTCGATCGACATTGCAGTAGTGGAAGAGGTGGAGAGAAGCACGAATGTGACGGGTGTTGTGGACAGAAAAAGAGGTTGCTGTGGTGTTGGTATGTGACGTTATGATCACTTCGATTTGGATATACAGAGATGGCACAAAGGAACAATGTCGCTCGAGACAACGATGCAAAGATAAGAGGAGCAACTTCAAGAATCTACACATATGCACAATCTGCAGGAGGAGAAAAGACCTTTTTCCTTTCTCAACTCCAAAAAAAAAATCAAAACAGCGCGGGGGGGGGGGAACGAGCAAAAAAGAAAGTAGGACACGAACCATATCAAGAGAAAATACGGCGACTTAAAGATGATGTTATAAACAAGGTGTTACCAAACCGCACAGTGGAGGGAAAAAATGATGCTTAGGTAACAAGAAGAAGACCCAAAAAGAAGAAGAAGAAGCAGTCCATATCTACTATACTCGTCCCAAATCTAAGCGCTCCAAGGAAGAAGAAGAGAACAAAGAAAGAAAAAGAGTCAATCCCTCAGGAGACCCTCTTTGAAGAAGAAGAAATAGTGGGACCAGCGACCAACAAGCTCCCCTCTTGTGTGTAAAGTATACATGTCAAGGTAACATGTATAAAGCCACCCAACAAGGAAGACAGGTAAAGTGTGCCGGCTACCTTGGCCAGGCGGCGCTGGTCCTCACACATGTACAATGAAAGTTATATGTGAAAAGAAAGAAAACTGTTTGCCAAACCCAAAAGTGCCTTTTATATCTAGGCAGACAGTACGTATGTGTCCTCCTCATCTGCTGCATAGCGAATCTGGAAAGGCTGGAAGCCGTTGTTCTTGCCCTTGTGGGCATGAACGGCCAATCCCATCTCACGCATGCGCTCTGCACCACGACCAGGGGCAGGACGCTTCTCTTTAGTGCCCTTGCGATGTTGCTTTCTGTACAGCTTCTCCTTGCGGCGCTGCTTCTTCTTCTCGAGCCCGACCTTGATATCGATGGCTCGGCGCACAGGCATGTCAGCGGCATCGTCATCTTCTTCCTCAAGATCAAACGGATTCCTCATGGTGATGGATGTGCGTGGAACAGAGGCAGAGACGGTGGGTACGGGTCTCTCGGCAATACCACCAAAGCGTATCGAGATGTCGCTACGCTGGCGAGCAGCCAAGGGGTTGACAGAGCCGCGGCGAGTAGGTGGTGGTGATCGAAGGCGCATGGGAGGTGGAGGAGAATGCAGCCGCTTGGGAGAATTACCAAACAGCTTGCGTGGCGGTGGAGAGCGATGCACGGCACGCTTGGCAGGTGGCGGGGACCGCAGGCGCTTTGGTGAAGGTAGGGGCGAACGCTTCTTGCTGATGTCTTTGCGACGACCGCGCAAGTCGGCATCTGGATCCATGCGACCGTGCATCATTAGGTGGTCGGTCTCTGAGGCTAGGTTCTCGCATTCGGAAACTTCGTCCTCTTCGTCATCCGGAAGCTCGGGATCCGATGTGGGAAAGGTAGGATCAATGTCTTGTGGAGTAGGCTTGTGCTTGGCAGCACGTCGGCGTTCTAGTGTCGACATGTATGCCTCCTCTGCCGGCCTATCTTCATCGAGGGTACCACAAACGAAGTCGGTGCTGTCAGGCAACTCGGGGCTCGGAACACGGATATTGACCGGCCTCGACTTCTTCCGCTTTGGTGGTTTGTCCATGATCTTGAGACCATCTCGGCTTTCGAGAGATCCAATTGACGACTCAGACACGGTGCGGGTAGGCTTTAGGCGAAGCTGTTCCAGGTGCTCCACTGATGTCGCAGCGGTTGATGCTCCAGGGGCCCACCAATTGTAGTCGGAACCTGCATCACTTTCATCATCGGAGCCGGCAAATCCGTTTTCATCATCCGTTTGGAAACCCTCGTCGGTGGTATCGCTGCGCGCATCACTGTCATCGTGATCTTCATCAAGCAAGTCGTCATCATCATCATCATCGTCGTCCATTTCGATATTGTCGTCGTCGTCGTCGTCTTCTTCATCCTCTTCGTCTTCCTCCTCCTCGATCGCCTCCTCTTCTGCAACTTCCTCGCCTAGCTTGCGTAGGTTGTTCTCGATTTTAAGCGTGTCTTGGACTGTTAGTCTGCTTCGGTGGCAAGTGACTTCTTGAGTCCACTCCTCAACCTCCTCTTCTGAGCTAGCAAACTCATGGAAGCGGTATGCCTCACAACGAGCTAGATCAGAGTTGGCACTCAAGCGGCGGGTTCGATCAACTGTGCGTGCTTTCCGGACGCTGACAGGTGAATTGTTACGGACTGTCGAGTCAGAGTCGCGGTGGACTTTTTGGGTTGCTTTGGGAGACGAAAGGATCCGTTGTGGTGGTGGGGCTGGGCTGGCCATTCGACGGGGTTTGGCTGCGACAGGTTTTGGAGGCGCTTCTTCTGAAGGCTTGGATGGGCACGCAAACTTGATGGTGCTGACACGCTTTGGAGGCTCTTCCGAGGCGGGGGCAGCGGCAGGAGCCGGTTTCGAGGCAGCTTCTTCTGGCTTCTTCTTCTCCTCTTTGGCACCACATGCAAACATGATGCGTCTCTTCCTTCCGAGAACTGCCTCAATGTTCTGCTCGGTATTTTGCGGGGGCGCAATCTTGTGCACTGGAACGGTGCTGTCGCCATCGTGCAAGGCGATTGAGATTGGTAGCTCCAATGGTTTGTTGTTGAACATGGGCAACATGCCGTGAAAGGACGCTGTAGGGAGCGGAGGGCTGGGCGTGCAGGGTCGAGTACCAGGACTTGTGAAGCCTCCGTCACTTGTAAGATCAGTAGTACCGCTATTGTTGCTCCATGTAGAGACGCACGACATGCCGCGGACTGGGCTCGCGTCGGACCGGCTGTCGACAGGGGAGCTGGTAGCAGATCCCGATTTGAGGGCCGAGGTGAGCAGCGATTCTTTGCGGTCACAGACGGGCTTTGATTTTGTAAAGGACGCGGTTGTGGTGTTTTGGAGTACCAAGGGCGTAGGGCGCTGCGCGCGGGGTTCGGGCGGCTCATCAAGGTCACCCATGGTCTCGTCCTCGGTAGTCATGAGGGGTGGCGATGCTGTAGCAGACATGGTCTGTGGCGTGCTTACTCGCAGTGCGCCCTGTTTGCTTATGTGATCCTGGTCGTTGGCCATGAGGTTGTACGGCTGACTAATGGTCTGTCAAAGGATGTTTGGGTTGTGAAAGCGGAAATAGGTCTGGTGATGTGGTGTGAAGGAGAACGTCCGGGTGGGTGATGGGATGATTGATGAGGTTGTCAGGCTGGCAGTTGATGGTGGAAATGTTGGAAAAAAAGGTGGCCGAACCAAGGCGTAGGATTCCGTCAGGCTCTACAGACGCGTGGTCGTGGTCGTGGTAGTAGTAGGAGGGTGTATGTGTGTATGTGTGTGTGAGTGTGCTAGCGGAGACTATAATGGCAGGTTGGACGAAAGTGTGGGGGGGGGCGCCCCAAGGAGACAGTGTTATAATATCTCAAGCAACATGGTGGAGAAGAGCAGAGTTGAACCTGGGGGTTGGAACAATGGACAAGCTAGAAGACGTATCAGAACCAGGCAGTGGCAGGCAGTGTGGAGAGGGAAGGGGGTACCTAGTGACGAGGTCAAACCCAGGGCGACGACGTGTGGCAACGGGCCGTAGTTGGTGGAGGGGGCGGCAGAGACAGACAGGCGGTTGCTAAGAGAAATGGGGCTTGGCAGATGGCGTGGACGAAGGTGGCAGAAGGCCGTCAGTCAGACGACTTATGCGCACTTGAGAGCTGCGACAGTAGCGGCGCGGACGGGCGAGTCGGAGCGCAGTTTGGGGGGGTGGGAGGGGGAGAGAAAGGAATTTGATGTGCAATGGCGTCTCGGCACCGATTTGGGGTTGGCAGAGAGAAACAGTGGGTAGGGGACGCCAGTGCTCGGCTTGGCTGTGCCGCTCTGGCCTGGTACCGGCAAGAATAGTGACTTTTATGGTAGCGCAGTAATGGCTGGGACGCACGGCGCGCCTGTAATTTAATGCTTACAGCGGCCGTTGTGTGCAAGTGCGAGTGCGAGTGCGAGTGCGTGTGCGTGTGCGTGCTGGCGAAGTCACTGTCTAGGGCACCGCCGGGCGCGAAACGCAATTGCATTGCCCAAGTCAGTGTGTTTGGGCCGCTTGTGTCGGAAGACTTGACGTTGTCGTCGAAGCAGCAGCAGCAGCAGCAGTAGAAGCAGTAGAAGCAGCAAGACCCTGAATTGAGGACAGCGTCACCATGTGCTTCTCGGACTACTCTCTACACTACTCCCGCTGCATCCTCTCCACCAAACACTTGCATGGCGGCCTCGAGTGGGTTGCATGTCGATGCGCCGACTGGAGGGCCAAATGCCTCACTCTGCACGCCCCGTCCTCGTGTCTGATCCTCCCTCAGCTCTAGAGTAAAGTAGTAGATGCATGGACAGACCCGTATGTCTGGATGTAGCATGCACACACACATGTACTTGCAACCAAGCCAACCTACCTACTTTAGATCCACGGACTCCACCAGCGCAACCTCACCGCTGCCACTCACCGCTCCGTGGCAGGCCCATGGATGCGCCCGACAAAGTCCCTGGATTTGGGGATCCATCATCTGACAAGTCAAAGGCCGCCGGGCTGTCGTTTCACCAACCACGTCTTGTGGTTCAGCTGCGGGCTCGCACGCCGTGCATCAAGGCGCATTGCCGTGTGGTGCAGTTGCAGGGCTGGATAGAGTCTGGGGCAGCGTGGGGGAGGGTTTTGTTTGGCGCATTCATCTTTTCATCCTTGCCGCTGCTGCCAATTTTCACAAGCAAGCGCCCCAACCGGCTTGCGGGGACACTTGGCCTGCTGCTCTCACTGTCCAACACCATCCATCTATCATCATCATCATCCATTCATCCGTCTGCGCCTGCGTCTGTCCATCTGCATCTTCACAACACTTGGCTGTACATGCCTCTTCCGGCATCGCTCTTGTCCGTCAGCCGATGCAGCCCGGACCGGACTTTTTTTTTGTTGTCTTTGCGTTACCAAGCCGTCCCATATATATGGTGTGTGTGTGTGTGTGTACTTGCGCAGTATGTACTTACACTACTTACTATTACCCCACGTAAGAGTAAACGCACATGGGGCCGTACTTGATACACCCGGCTACAACCGCGGCTTCCTCGTTGCAGACAGCGGCTCCGAGATAACGCGCTGCATTCATTCCAATGCCCTGACAATCCCCGACCAGCACCAGCATGACGTAAAGCCAAAGACAAAACATGAACCCTCGTCATTGTCATCATCATCATAATCACCCTATGTCTCTTGCTCACGCGTGATGCCGACTTCCGCTTCTTGCTGCAAAAATAAACCTCTCCCTTCCACTCGTCAGCATGCATGGCCCCACGTGTACAGCAAAGAGTGTGGAGTAGCTCGTCACCTATCCCGGCTCTACCAACCAAACATCCCTTTTCCTTGAATGTTACAACATAATGCCGTCTACAAGCGTCGCCATACTTCCCTGCTCAGCCACACGGCAATTGCCTTCGGAACACGGATCAAAGTGCTCCTGACGCAACTGCAACCATGGTCGGACCTGTCTTGGTGTGCACAACAGAGCAGCATTCTCTTGTTGAACAGACAAGCAGTGCATACAAACAAACAAACAAATACAGTTCATGAGATGCACGCCACACAAAACAAGCAAATACAGCAAAACACGTGCACGTTCCTTCCCATCTAGCAATTAGAGTAACTACACATGCACGTGCATGCCCTCCTTCCCTCCACTAGCCTCATGTCAACACAACCACAAAATATACGCGCGCACAGACTCTTTTTTTTCGCCCATTATCCAAGCATCCATCTTCCCTATTCCCGAGAACCTTCGCCTTGTTCAACTAGCCATTAGCCTTCAACGCAACTCGTATCCGCTCCCTCCCGACGACTCGCCGGTCCGTACCAAAATAACATTCCCACACCCCCTATCTCACTTTTGCCCCCGAAAAGAACAATCCAAGTCCCAGAACGAAAAAAAACAAATGATCATCCTTCTTGGCAATATCTAACCTTTGCGCCCACAACCCTCCGCTCAAGTCCACTTCATTAAGACTCGACAAAGCCAAGTCAAAGCCAAGCCCACCCATTTCATATCCAAAAACTATATACGCCCCCTCATCTCCTGCTGATCTCTTTTTTCTTTGTTAAACTCGCCGGTAAGTCCCGGAATAGACAAACTACCACACACGCACACGCACACGCACTTTTTTGCATTTTGCCTAACGGAAAGAACTTTTTGCCAAGATGGGACAATCAACGCTTACTAAATGCACAATGACACACATGTGAAATTCTATTTCTGAACGCATACATACATACGTACAAAATGTGTGTTTTACATTGAGTTTTGATGAAGAAAAATCTCCAAAAATAGTTAAGGGGGGGGGAAGGGGAGGAGAGTTATAACAAAGTAAGAATAAACTATGATGAATAATTGACTATTACTACTACTGTTACTACTACTTGCGGTATATACCAAGAAAGATTAATAGTATTTTATGCAAAGTCCCAAGTATGCCCTATACACACTGTCCCCCATCCATGCATCATCCCTTCTCAACCTCGTTTCAGATGTCAGATTCAAACAAAAAATAAGACCGATGTACAATGGTACCGTACAAAGAGAAGAAAAAAACTCCCCATCTTATCCCACATCCTTCGTCTCTCCTCTTCCCCCGCACACAGACCCCTTATGGCCCCACGACGCACTTCCCCGAGACCTGTAGGTAAGAAAGATCGCCCAGCCATTAATCGTGCCTAGCCCTCACCTCCTTACATACACTTTCTTACTAGCCCCTCCCCATATTGCATGCCCCTCCTCTCCCTTCTCCCCCTACCCCTGCCCCTGCCCCTGCCCCTAGCATTCCAGTGCCAACTCCCTCTCCCACTTCTCCCTCACAAACCGCACGGCCCGTGCAAACACTGCATCACGCTCGCGCGCCTCATGCTCCGGCACAAAGGTATTGGGGAACTGCGTCCACCCATGCCTGCAACCGGGAGCGTGCCAAATCTCCAGTCCGCCATTCTTGGCATGGGATGCATTCGAGCACCATTCTTGGCTTTGGCCATTGCCATCACCATCACCATCACCGCTCGTGGTAGTGGTAGTGGCAGTGGTGGTGCCGTCCCAGTCACCTGCTCGGCCATCGCCAAAGCGTACGGGACCCGTCCAGTTGCTACTATTCATCTTGTCCACCCACACATCGCTCTGCACCGCTAGCGAGTCCTTCTCCGGTAGCACAAGAAAAATAGCTGCGTTCTTCTGGATGTGCTCTGGGTCGTTGAGACCGGGGCTAGCGCGAGGATGCGCCCGTAGTTTCTTGGGCAGGTACGTTGGTCCCAAGATAGAGAATAGACCTGGTTGTCTTGGCTTCTCAACGTGGTAGTCGTCTGGTTTGAGCGCGTTTGGCATAGGCCTCCGTGGGCGTTCGTGCGGCAGCAGCCGTGCGTCGAGAGACGGGTAGAAGAGTAGCAGTGGGAGCAGTCGCGGTTGCGCTTCGGGTGGTGGGAGGAGCGACGGCCATGACTGGAATGGATCGTCTAGAATTGTTGCTCTGCGGTTTGCCGGGAGTGTCGGTGACATGCAATCGCGATCCGCAGGCCCGAGTGTTTGTGATTCCATCATTCCCATCTGTGGACAGGGTGGAATCGATATCGCCATGTTGAGCGCTATGTTGCCTCCGGCTGAGAAACCAGATATCGCCAGATGCGTGGGATCAAGCACCATATCCGTGGCATGCTGGATGTGCGGAAGAACTGGCTCTTTTTTGTTCTTTCCCTCCAGCACATTCGTCCGCACCATGGAGTAGTATCTCTGCACCTCTTGCCGTAGGACCTTGCCTGCCTCTGATGTCCCGCTCGTATCTAGAATTGCAGATAGCACATCCTCTGCATCGTGAATCGCCGCGGGAAACTGGTGGAACGGTCCGATGCGATACGATACGCTCAGCACCACGGCCCCAAGCTCACGCGACATCATCGATGCATATGGTGCCTGTTCAAGCGGCGATCCCATAATGAAGCCGCCTCCATGTACTACAACACGCACCCAAAGTCAGCATACTCGCCACAAGCATCCTGGGGTACACGGGTCCTACACACAGTCCAAAACAACCGGTACATGCCATTCGCCCGTCTCTTTCCGCTGCTGCTCACTCTCTGCATCTGCATCCGCCGGTGCCGGCGGCACGAATGTGTACGCGTAGATGAGATGCCCCTTGCGGCTCGGCAGCGCAATCAGGAATGGATGCGGACCCTTCGGCGATGTCAGGTGCAGGATGGACAGCGGCACGAAGCGCGGAAGTTGTACGAGCGCCGTCCGCCATTGGATGTGGAATGGGAGCCGGAAAAAATACGCGATCGAGTGCCAGAAGCTGCCCATCGTTGTGGCCGCATAGGGATGAGTTGGACGAACCTAGCGCAGCATGCTCTGAGCATCGCGCGAGGGCGAGAAAAGGTGCGCTGCGAGTGCTGAGTGAGCAGTCGCCTACGTACAACGTAGATAGGCGAAGCATGGCGTGTCCAAGCTGCCCAGATTGAGGGCGCTGAACAAAGGCGGATTCGTGACGTCAGTCCATGAACCATGTCATCCACAATCGCCATTGCAAGGCGGGAAACATCAATAGTAGTGTTTAGCATGCCCCTGCTAGCTGGGCCAAAGCTTCAACAGGCGAAGCTTTGCAAGGATGTCTGGTAGTGCCGAGGCAGAGCACAACTTCTTCATCAAAAGTGGACCTCCTTTGGCATTTTATGTCGTCCCAACCGTCTCGTAGAATTAACAAGCATCTAACCTGACCATACCGCAAATACAATTACAACCAGCTCAATTTCATAATTTTGCATCCACTACACACCTTCTGGTAGCTGGATACGGGCAAAATACTTCTTCCATGTGCGCATCGACACTACAGCATCAGCATGCATACTGGCGTCTAGTTTGACGGGACTTCCAACGGCATAAGCATGGCACAGAAGTCTTTCCATCTTTGCATCTTCGTCCTTGAAACATCGCAACCACACAAACCTCATTCATCGGCTTCTGCACATGTAATTGGCATTTTGTCTACGTGGACAGGCTACTATAGTCTCCTTCCCACAAATGACCCATGATCCGCCCCCGCTGAAATGCTTTTGTGAACTCTCCATCAAAGAGATGCTATTACCCCACCATGCTGTGAAGCCTTAACCACGAGCCCATCGAGTACAGTCAGTAATGATCCGCATCGAGACGGCTATCGAGCACGGTCGAAGAGTGTATGCAAGCTATAGGGTACCTCTTGATAGCTCACCAAGATGCAACCTTGTCGTCAGCATCTGCAGAGAAGCTCTCACCACCAAAGCCCCCAGCACTACCAAAGCCAGCAGCTGCCTCGTTACCAAAAGTGGCACTAATGTCAAATCCGCCAGCTTCTCCGCCAAAACCACCACCCAGGCCATCGTCAGACTCTTCGTCAGTGCCATCATGCCACTCAATGGCCGACGGGTTTTGAGGCTTGAACTGTTCAAGGAAGTCGCTCACCTCCTGTCCCGATTCAATGAGAACCTTGACCAGATCTTCGGCAATATCCTGGTTGCCGTCGTTGAAGAAAGAGGTGGCTTTCCCTTCGTTGCCAATACGCGCGGTGCGGCCAATGCGATGAACGTACTCGGTAATGCCACCGTGCTGACTTGAGGGTAGGTCGTAGTTAATGACATGCTTGACGTTGGCGACATCGAGACCACGAGCAGTGACACCAGTGGCGACCAGGATAGGACAACGTCCAGTCCGGAACGAACGGCTATTCACACTTTTAGTAGCAATTCATCTCAGCTAGGCAGTAAGTACTTACAGAGCATCCTCGCGCTCACGCTGAGTGCGATCTGAGTGGATCGAAGTGACGGGCAAGCCTTTGTTGTACAGAAAGTCGTCGACCTTATCGCATTTGAACTTGGTATTGACGAAGATGAGGGAACGCTGTGGGCCTCCATCGAAGAGCAAATCGAAGAGTTCCTTATTCTTATCATCGTCCTCAACGAAGCGGATCTCCTGCTTGATGTTGCGATGAGTGCTACCGACCCTTCCTACTTTGATTCGAACAAAGCCTTCTTCCATGTACTCCTTGGCAAGCCTACGAGCGGCTTTGGAGAAGGTAGCAGAGAGCATGACAATGGTATGATCCGCATCGGAGTTGACGTCTGTAGCAATCATCAGCAAGTAGAAAAGAAAAGGAGTTGGTAACTCATACCAGCACCAGAAAACACTTTCTCCATGGCTTCCTCCCAGCCACTTGAAAGCAACTCGTCGGCTTCGTCGATGACGGTGAACCTGTGAGCTTGTTAGTGCATAAATTCCATGAACAGTAATCTAGTTGGCGTACTTGAGGCGGCGGAGCGAAAGGAGATTGTTGTTCTGCATAAAGTCCATGAGGCGTCCTGGAGTGGCAATGAGGATATCACAACCCATCTCGAGCTGCTCGCGCTGATTCCTCGTGGGAGCACCGCCATACACAACACAAGGGCGCAACATTGTACGGTAGCACAGGCGACGAGTCAGATCGAATGTCTGAGTAGCAAGCTCGCGAGTAGGGCACACAATCAATACCAGAGGCTCGGCACGGACCCGGTCTGTAAGAGGGTTGTAGCGGGCTGGGTTGGGTCGAGGTGCTGCCAACTGACGAGCCTTACCCATGAGCTTTGAGAGGATGGGAACCAGGAATGCAGCCGTCTTTCCAGATCCTGAGCACTTTTAGCAATGTATCAAATAACGTAATGCTGACGATACTTACCGGTCTGCGCAATAGCGACCACGTCGTTGCCAGTCAGAATGGCTGGGATGCAATACGACTGGATAGGAGTTGGAGCACCATACTGGCACAACTTGACATTCTCAAGCATGATCGGGTGCAAACCGGCATCCTCAAACTATGCCAATGATTAGTACAGATTATTGAAGTGAGATGGGGTATCTTACGTTGCGAACAGGGTTGATCTTGGTAGGGCCTTGAACAGTGACTTCGAATGAGAGAGCGCTGATCGCACTGCCGGCACGCTGCAGATATTCATCCTGGAAGAGCATCTTCTCAAGCTCAGGATTGGGCTCACCAACATCGCCAAACTCATCGTCCCACTGATAGACGGCGGCATCTGACAGCCAGGGAGCAGCGTCGCGAGTCTCGTCTGCAGCAGGCGTGCCGCCGACAACAGTGTCATACTGGAAGGGGATTGGGTTGGTCCATCCAGCCTCTTTGGCACGGGCAAGATCCCTTGCCAGCTGCTCCGCGCGGTCTGTAGCAGCGCCAGCAACAGTCTTAGGCGGATCTGCGTTAGACATGTTGACAATGCTAGGTAGTGTAGTGGTGATGCTGGGAGCGAGACAGCAGTTGATGGACAAGTAAGAAGCTTCTTATGGTTTAAGCGAGGTGACTAGGAGATTACAAATAAGCTGTTTGCCCACTGTATACAGAAATGGCAAGCACTGTGCGTCACCGCGTGGCTTGGCACGATCCTACCTGCAGACCTTGACGGCGACGACGGGGACAGGTGAGAGACCAGCTGCTTTGATCGGTGAGGTAAGAGAGTATTAGGTGAAGTCAGATATGTATGTATAGTCTGTGGTTATCGTGTGCCGGATAGGTGGGCATTGAGGTTCTGGGAGGCAACTTTCGGCACGAGCAATCACCTGAAGAATGTAACCAAGCAACACGCGCATGCCTATAGGATAGAGTCATGAGGTGATTTGTGAGTGTTTTTAGATGCTGATCTATGCTGTGAGGTCATTGAGAGTAGCATGAAAGTTATTCTGTGTTACATGTAACGAGAGCGTCTCTTGTGTCGGCAGTACGTGACAAGCGGCATAGCAATCGTCGATATGCAGTTGTAAGAATCGGCATGTTTGGTCAACTGTATATCCCTGAAGAGTATGTGGTAGTTATCACTACAAGTCAATAAGAATACCAAGGCCCACATATAGCCCACAAGTACACTGCAAGTCTTGTTAGTCTCAAAGCAATATTGATCGAAGCAGGAAACCACATTCAAAGCGAAGCCATATCTTTCTGTCTGCACAACCAACAGGTCAATATAACTTTTGTTCTAAATCTAGCTGATATTACGATCAGTCCCTAAGGTGGTTTCATACGCAAAGAAATGCGATCTGATTAGCTCTGAGAATCTCTATCCTCATAAGCCACATAGCTGTGCTGATATATCAGAAATTTCTGTAGTGTTTGGATAGCGTCTAGTGAGTCAACAAACACTAGACTCTCCGCCAATCCAACCAGCCCAAGACCAGCTCAAAATATGAGCAGAAAAACAAACAAGAAAACAAACGAGAAATCTAACCAAAGAATCGCCTAGAAAAAAAGTCAGAGAACAATGTCACAAACAACAGGAAGTATTCCCTCCTTGGCACCAGACATGAAAGCAAGACAAGGGCAGTTGGAGATCGTGGCCTACAGAGGTCTGCTTTAGAAGGTAATGATCATTGCGGACCATACATGTCATGCATTGTGCTACCACGCCAATCATCAGTATTGGCAGATCAGGAGTCTGATGGCACAACTGGAAGCAATAAGGAGATAAGGATAGAGAGATTCCATTATTACTCTCGCTGTAGTCAACTTGGATTTTACTTGTTTATTGGTTACTTTACTCAACAAGAAAGTGGCCTGTTAGTCTATAGGAATATAGATGAGTTGTTGTTAACCCCCGCTGTTTTTGTGCACGCCACTGTACCGAATCGCTAGACAAATCTCACAGCCCTCACCCAGACTGAGATCAGGGAATATATCGCAACACCATGTAACAAATAAGTCAAATAATCGGCTTTGCATAGGAGTTGTCAGAGTCAAAGGGGTTATTTTAATCATTTGTATTGAATGACACAGAGGGCTATCTGAAGTGGTTAGGCACAGTCGCTCGGAAATTGGTTGCAGTAGTCAATCAAGGAAAGAATTTCAAGAAAGCTTCCTCTGAACCAAAAGTCAAAAAACCTCGTTCCACAGTGTCAGAAAATCGAACAGTAGATAGTTTTCGATACTGAGTTGATCTGCATATAATGTTATACACAAAGGGATGTGGCTGGCTTAACATGTCTCATGCCTACGTCATTGCCTCCTTGTTCGTGCACGCGACCTCGCAGCTGATCTTGTTTATCTCAACTGCGGTACCCACCCATCTGGACTCCCCCAGACCCCCAGAAAAAAAAACCCCCGAAACTTCGATATACCCCTCTCAACCATGAACGACCCCGGGCTCGATGAGCCGGCGCAAGAAGCCGCCCAGGATGTCGAAAATAGAATGCAAGCCGAAGACGAGCAAGCGGAGCGCGAGGAACGGCAGTATCTTGATCCAAGTTATGTAACCAGTATTATTACCACTACGCAGTCATTTTTTTAAGTTTGGGCTAATCAAATAAACAGTCGATGGTGGTTTGCATCTACAGCAAGTCCACTCATAGCAGGAACCTTTGGTCCAATTGCAAACGGCATGTCCATCTGTGCCCTGGTTGAAAAGTGGCGCGTATATATCCCACCCGGCAGCGACGAGGCCCATGGAACCAAGATTGCAGATCCGAAATGGCTCATCGCAGTGAACTCGGTATCTCTCGTTTTTGCCCTATCGGCAAATGCCAGTCTACTGCTCAACATGTCGAGAAGACTCAAATTTGCTATTGCGCAACCCATTACCATTATTGGGTTTTACATGGCTAGCTTTCTGCTCATAGCACTGGTTGGAGTGGCTTCGTCGTCGGTGTTTCGTATTCAGCCTATGCAGCAACATGCGATGAGTCAGGCTTTTTACTATGCTATCATGGCTGCGGGGGTTTACTTCATTATTGCATCGCTGATGATGTTCACGGCGTTTGGAGCGTACACTGGGCATTATGATCGCGAATTCCGACTTACAGCTAGTCAGCGGACGCTAATGCTGCAGACCATTGCCTTTGTGTGCTACCTCCTCATCGGAGCTCTGATATTTTCTTACGTGGAGAACTGGGCATTTTTGGACGCAGTCTTCTGGGCTAACTTCACGCTGCTTACCATGGGGTTCGGCGGAGAGTTTGTGCCAAAAACGCACACGGGCCGCTCTTTGTTGATTCCATACGCCATCGGAGGGCTAGTAACGGTCGGTCTGGTAATCGGATCTATCAGGTCGCTCGTGCTCGAGCATGGAAAGCAAAAGATGACGGCTCGGTTCACAGAAGTCAAGAGACAGAAAGTACTGGAGTCGATTGACGAGGAAACAAAGACGATACGTATTTCGCTATTCAAAAAAGTAACGTTTTGCTTAAAGGGCTTGAAAGAATCGCAAAGACGTGAGCAAGAGTTTCGCGTTATGCGACGCGTGCAAGAATTGTCTGAAAGGAAGAGAAGGTATACTGCCTTGGCACTGTCAACAGCAGCGGCTTTATTGCTCTGGTTCATGGGAGCTCTGGTATTCTGGTATTCAGAAGAGCCACAAGGATTCTCTTACTTTGTCTCCCTCTACTACGCATACGTGTCGCTCCTGACGATTGGTTACGGGGACTACGTCGTCCAAAGCAATGCTGGCAAAGCCTTCATGGTATTCTGGAGCTTAGTCGCGGTCCCCACCCTTACAATCCTCATCTCCAACATGGGCGACACGGTCATCAAAGCTTTCAAAGACTTCACGATCTGGGTTGGCTCCCTCACTGTCTTGCCCGATGAAGAAGGTCTAAGTGCTGCACTCAAAGTTGGATGGACAAGAATCAAGAAGGGCAAATGGGACAAGAAAGCCTACCAAGACGATTCGGCCAACGAGCACAAGCACTACACCCAAGACCGACTAACCACACACGCCGAAGAAGCAGAGTTTGGAGAGGAGGAAAAAGAAGCAAGCCATTACGATGACAATCTCGAACTAGACACCCACTTCTACCACTACGTCCTCGCAAAAGAAATCCGCACCCTCATAAAAGATCTTGAGATAGAGCCGTCCAAACAATATGAATACCACGAATGGGGATATTACCTACGCCTAATTGGCCAGAGCGAAAGCGACGCTTCGTACCACCGGCGGCCGCACACTCATCCCCACTACGACGACGGCGAAGCCCCCGATATCGGTTCTGCAGGCGATAGCAAGCAGCAGCGCTGGAGCTGGCTTGGCCTCCGTAGTCCGCTCATGGGCAACGTGTCTGAGCCCCAGTGGCTGCTTCAGAGACTGACTACGACGCTTGAGAGGGCGATGCTTAGGATGAGTCTGGGGGATAGTAAGGCTAAGAGGGCGAGGCCGCCTATTTCGTTACGGGAATTGAGGGGTTCGGGTAGGGGGAAGTTGTCGCAGGAGATGGAGGGAAATATAAGGTTTGAGGGGCAGGGGGAAGAGAAGGATTCTGCGCGTTGAGGGAGTGGAAAAGGATACTTGTATAGACATGCGGGTAGATAAATACTTGTATAAACTTTTAACCAGTGAATCCGAGTCGTAATGTGTTACTGGGTATATATAGATGAAGCAGTATTCACGTGGCCAAGAGAGCAGACTCGTTCCTTCCAAACTACCTACTTTAATCGTCCAAAATCGGCCTTCAGCTCAACATCTCCTTCATCATCCACCACTTTGCCTCGATCCCACTCTCTAGCCTCTCCTTTCCCTTTCCAAACCACATCCTCCTCATTCTGTCCTTCGCCTCTCTCCCACTTCCTCACTTGTTCGTCTGTAAATCCCGCAGACTTGAGACGTTCGGCGCCCTGTTGCTTCCAGCGTGCGCGGTCACGCAACGCCTCCAAGGCATCGCCCCAGTCGTCTTCATTATCGGAGTCTGCACGGACGTCGACTTTAGGGTCGTAGGTAGACGAGAAACGTGATTCGATACCCATAGAGTTTGGCTTGAAAGCGCCGCGGCCTTTGGAGCGTACCGTGGGTTCGGAAGATGGCGGGAGCGGGCCGACAATGGCTTCGAGAGGGTCGGAATCAGATGCTGGGGAAGCGGCATGTCTTTTGGAGCTTGGCCGGTCTTTTTCCCGGTCAGATCTACGTTTGGAGCTTTTTTCGGTGTCTCTAGGAGAGCGTCCTCTATGTTCGCGCCGTTTTTCATGCCGATCATAGTGTCGAGGTGGTGGTGATCGGGATTGTGAAGTCGTATCAGAGTATGACCTTCGTCTTCTGTGCCTGCGCTCTTCGCGGTCTCTTCTCCGTGACCTCTGATCGGCATCAGAATCGCTTCCTTTGTGCCTGTGAGCCTTGTCGTGAGGTGACCTTGACCGTCTACGTTTCCGCCAAGAAGAATCCCTCTCGTCATTACTGTCGTGTCTCCTTTTGTGGCGCTTCCTGTCTCTGTGTCGGTGGGGCGAAGTATTCTTGGAGGATTCTCGCTCTTTGCTTCTTCTTCTTCGTCGTCTCCTATGCCTGTCTTCGTCCTCACTATGGTCACGCCGTCTATCAGAGTGCGTTTTTGTGAAATCATCATCCCCTAGGGCTGGGGTCAATATTCCAGGAGCCCTTCTTTCTTGCTCTTCTTCATAGCGCATATCTCTTCTTTTGCGCTCGCGGTTCATCGTCCTCAGTCGCGCACGAGACTCTTCTGCCTCTTTCGCAAGTAGCGCTGCATTGTGACGGTCGGTTTGACGGATGATGTTTCTTAAGAAGTTCTTGTTGGGTTTTGGGGCGCCTAAGTTTGCTCTGAGAAAAGTCAGCATTAACTACCTGAGCAGAGAGTGTTGTTGTACTTTCAACGCTCATATAACGCCATGACTGGCACACAGGCTTGGAACGCACCTCCTGGGGTTGAAGGCATCGATGCCGACAAGTTCATATTTCTTTGTTGCGTTCTTTGCGTCTTGCTTCAGTAGCTCAGCGACGTATTCGTCGTCGTCTAAGTTCTTTGTCATGATTCGTGGTGCTCCTTGTGACCAGAAAAGGGCAAGGATTGCCAAAGATCAAAGCTCCTGAGATGCTTGGAGAATGATGTGCGATCATTCCAACGAACAACGCTAGTCTGCATGCGGTAACTGCCGCGGGGAAATCTGCCCTTAGATGCCAGCCGCGACCGTCGCCAAAACAAACACTTGAATTCCTTCATACTCTAAAACACAGGATATAGCAAGCAAAATGGGTCCCAAACGAAAGTCTGCAGTTCCAACACCAGCATCAGCGTTAGAACAGTTACAGCAATCACAGTCGCTCAAGCTTCTGGCCATTGCGGAGACACTGGCTCCAAAAGATCTCCCTCAAACTGGAAAGAAGCGCAACTCTGCAGCATCTGAGGATAGCGAACAGAATAGCGACACACATCCTGCAGCCCTCGAAGCTGATTTGTTACATTACAAAGTATGCAGGGCCTGAGAAGTTGTCTTGGGTCAGGTCTAATCACAACGACAGGAACTATTCAGCAAGCTCCGCTTCAGTTATGTCGAACAAGTCACCAAAGAAAAGTTCCTGCGCAGCATCACCGAAAACCCGCCTCGGCTTGTTGACGCTCATGAGAACGATGAGAAGGAGAAGGAGATACTGGGCCTGAAAGCGGAGCTCAAGAAGCGCAAGTTGGAGGTGGCCGACATCTTGAAGCAGTTGGAGGACAAGGGCAAGGAGCTCGCAATACGCTACGAGGGCGTGCAATTACGGACACAACAGCTTGAGTCTCTCCCAACCGAGATCGAAGGGCTGGAGGCGAACATTGAACGATTGAAGCACGAACAAGCGCCAGCCTCAACCAATCCCGAGCTTGCTCTTCCGCTTCCCGAGACTCAGCGAGTGCTCAGCGAACGAGAGGCAGAGCTTGCAGCTCTTAACGCACAGATTGCCAGTCTCCAGGCCACTATTCCGAACCGAGGCAGAGATCTGGAGAAGCTGGAGCGTGAGCTGAGGCCATTGGAGACACAAAAGCAGGGGACGGTAGCGGCGGCCAGAGAGGCTCAGAGGAGGAGGGAAGAGGGCGGTGGTATAGGGGACGAATTGGAGGAGCGAGGCAGGTGGCTCCGGGCCTCTGAAAAGGCGCTAAAGGAAATGCTAGAGGTAGAGGGGTGAGAGTTTGACAAGCAAGCATGGGATTGGCGTGGCTGTGTAGGTTGGCGTTATGGGTGTAGGGACACGGGACGAGCACTCGAGATACCACTGATTTGAATGTCGATTATGTCTTTTGTTTCGTGTTGGTATCGTTGTCGAACAGGCCTCTCGCTCGAGTGTCTAATAAGGCAGCTGGCGAACGGATGTGGTGACCGTGCAGATGCAGCTGCAACGACATCATGACCATGATAGTAGCGGTTCGCCTCATTGCCAGCGCATCGCGCACCAAGGGCGGCCATGGGGGCTAAAGCATCTCGGGAGCCGGGCCATCGCTTGGAACGGTAATCAGGCGGCTGGGGCAGGGGGCTGTCGGGTGCTGTGATTGGCCAGCCCCAGCCACTCACCGCCATGCACCTATCGATTACGTTGCCCGGCCAAAAAAACTCATAAACATGCAGGCGGCTGGGCCCGGCGGTCTCGTCGAGCTGGCTGCTACCGCTTCCCATGTCCCAGGACACCTGCAGCTCTCCAGAAACATCTTTGTTCAACACTAACCGCATACCCGGGGACCCTTTTGTGTACTCGACCTCGACTCTCGCTCACCATCGCGAGCTGACGTTGACCCCACCAAGGCGAGCTGTCCACCCGGACACGCTCAGAACCCAACTCCTCAGGCCCCAACCAGCCTCCGCATTTTGACGGCGCGAAGCTTTCCTTCGCTCCCCTTACGCCTCTAACGACGTCACGACAATTTGCTTCCTGTTCATTGCTACATGCGCGCATTGTTAGAGCGACGATCCAGTCTTTTTTTTGTCGTTGAAGCCGCCCACCGTCGGCAGCTTTCGCATCCATCATCACGGCACTACCACACCGTTGGACCCTCTAATCGACCCTTGACTCGACGAATCTTCCTAGCACCATGTCCAATGGACTCTCGGACCCAGGGACGAGTGTCTACTCGTCGGGCTCCATGCATGTCGGAGACGGCACATGGGACTCGCAGCGCAACACATTCTTGCTCCCCAATCTGCAGGGACTGAACTTTGAGACAACGCGCTTGAATGGTACGAATACTATGCTACTAGACATGGCGACGAAGCTAACCTTCTAGGCATGGGCAATCGCTTTCGTAACATGCCTGGTTACAAGGCCCTCATAACCGCCCACGGTGTACTAGCAGTAGTTACATTCTTATTCGTAATCCCTGCTGCCATTTTTATGGCCAGCTTCTACCACCGGAACCCGCGTACTGCCTTGCGATTCCACATCTGGCTGCAGGTCTCCGCGGTACTCCTCTCGACTGCTGCTATCGTCTGTGCCTTCCAAGCTGTGGGTCTTGAGAGGTCTCTAACCAACCCGCATCATGGCATCGGCGTAGGCTTGTACACTCTTGTCGTCGTCCAAGCCTTCGGTGGCTCGGTCATCCACAGACTAGAAAAAGGCAAGGAGAGATACAAAATTCCTCTTACGCTCATGGTATGCATACAACAGACAGTAGCATGACTCATTACTGACACCTGCAGATTCACCAATGGCTAGGACGAACCATTGCACTGCTCGGAATCGCGCAGATTCCACTGGGTCTAACCTTGTACGGATCGCCACTGGTTCTGTTCATACTATTCGCCGTCTGGACGTTTATCCTTGTGATTCTCTACTTTATCTTGTCATACAGGAGCCAGCCAGAATTGGACTTTGACGATCGTAGCACTTATATAACCGATCGCTCGTACAGTACCAGACGCAGTCGCCGAAGCAGGGGTCCAGGTGTGGGAAGGGTTGCAGCAGCAGGAGCAGCGGGAGCAGGTTTAGCTGCATTAGGTTCAGGAAGATCTCGAAGCCGTACTCGCAGCAGACACGGCGGAACAGTCATTAGCTCCCGAAGGGACTCCCGCTCTCGTGTCACCGCTTCTGACTTTACGGAATCTTACCTTAGCGACGAAAAATACGGTGCCGACCGCAACAAAGGAAGTACTTGGAAAGATCGCCTTATCGGAGCTGGAGCTGCCGTGGGGGGCATTTTCGCCGTCAAAAAGCTATTTAACCGTAAAGAAAAGCGTCCTCCAACTGAGACCGGAAGCGATTTCAGTTACAGCCGCGGATTGGGCCCTTCTGAAGTCACCCAGACCGACATTTCAAGGCTAGAAGAAGGACGCGCCCCCGGATCTCCGGCAAACCGTAGAGACGACTGGCGTCGTGTCGAGGAGCGTGATACCCAAGTGTCAGCAATGACTGGAAGCAACCTACGATCGAACCATCGCCAAACGAGAAGTGTAACATCTATAGACTCTTTCGATAGTCGGACCAGCTTCAGTGACGAGACCGACATGAGGCCCAAGGATCGTTCCTACGGCTTGAAGGAGGGAGTCGCTACTCTTGGTGTATTCGGCTTTCTCAAGCACTCTCTGAGCAAACGCAGCAAGAAGAGGGAGGACGAGCATGTGGAAGAAATGAGGGAGCAAGACTTGGAAGAAGAACGTATCGCTCGCATGAACAGCCAACGCCGCAAAAAGTACGGTGCTGATAGCACTCCCCCGCGCAGGGGCGGACGACCTCCATCGACTATACTTTCAGACAGCGATATTACCGGCATCACACCCTCTGTAGCCCGTCCGCCCATGGATTCTACCGTCACGCCATCAGTGAACCCTCATCGACCCCCTCGCGCTGGCGTCTATAGTGTCTTGTCGGATTCTGGATCAGAAGCTTACGACTCCCCTGGAGGCCGTCATCATCAACGACGTCGCACTGCAGGCGACGCAGCTGGTGGAGGCACAGTCATCTCGGCAGCTTCACCATCCAAGCATCGACGCCGAGGCAGTAGAGACGATGTTGCATCTCCCCCTGTATCCGTCAAAGTCAAGATGCACAACGACGGACGTCATGTTACTTTGCGACGACTCAACGAAGAAGAGGCAGCCGCCGAGCGTGAAGCAAGGAAAAAGGATCGTCAACGAAAGAACCGCGCTGGAAGTGTTAGTTCATTGAGCGGTATCGGTGGCGACCGCTGGCGCAGGACTGAAGCCATGGAAGCGGCACAGGCGCAGGAGATGGCCCAACAAGCTGGAATACCTCCCCCACCCCCAATGCCTGGCTCAACACCTCTTCGCATGCCCGAGGCTACCATTCCCCCACCTCCCGCTGGTCCGTCCGGAGCTTATGACCAACCCGGGCCCAGCAATCTTTCTCCACCTCCAATGCCAGGTGCGGTAGATACCGTCCTAAGCAGTCCTCCGGGCACTCAAATTCACGGCACCGAGACGGACCTTAGCAACTACGATACCAACAGGCGTAGACGGAGAGCAGAAAGAGCCCAGGCCAAGCAGGCGAGGCTAGGCGGAAGTCGGGTTGAGTTCTCCTAATTGTTGATTTTTTTTGCATGAAACGAGACGAGAGAAAAAAAAGTAGTCGCTTACGCCAGACACGTATGTATGTGTTCTACCTGCATTGTTTTCCGGCGTCATGATTGTGTATGTATGTATGTAAAGTGAGTGAGAGATGACGTTTGGCATGTTACATGATTGAGCGGTTGTTTTTTTTGACCCTTTGGCGCCATACGTTGCGCACTTGTTCATAGATTGAATTAGTCGGTTGTTTTTTTGTATAAAATACCATTGGTCATGTTGCTGTACAGATGATGCGTCCTTGTTGTTTAGTTCTTGAATTGTGCCTAATGATGTGTAGGTGTTGACAGTGTGGAGTTTTGTCATTTGCTTCGAAAGAGAGTGGGCGTGGGAGTGTCGTCTGGGAGCATAGAAGAAAGAGTAGACTGTGTTGTTTGTTGGTTCAGGCAATGTCGATTAGCATGTTAATGTCCTGATAAGTTTTGGCAAATAATTCTGACACCGCTTGTTCTTGTCAGTATCTGAGGTAGTTTTCTACGTCC